TGGGGTCCCGAAGGACCTTGCCGTCCTCGTCCTTGATGTTCTGAGAGGCGAACGACCTCTTACCTTCGACGTTGATCATCTTCAGGTGCCTGTAGAAACCCGCCTGATCCCCCTCGCGGCTCTCCTTCTCGAGCTGCCGTACATAGCCCTCGAAGAACGTTTCTAGTGCTCTCCACCTCGCGATGCTGCGCGTCTTCCGCGCCGCCTTGAGTATCGCCTTCAGGGTCGCCTCGAAGGCGCTGTTCTTTGAGGCCCCACGCAGTTGCTGCTGGGTCGCCTTTATCTCCTTAGACGCATCGGAAATCTCTTGCTCCGCTTCGCTCGGTTACCAGCCTCTCTGCCCTCGTGCGCACCTCGCCAGCATATGTTATGTTGGGAAGGTGCAGACGGATGATGTTGGGTACTGTTGGTTAGTCGGGCGTTTTGTGTGTTTTTGTATGTAGACGATTCATACAGCATTACGGTGGGCCGTGTCATCCCCCACCCTCCCACTAACGCAGACAAGCAGTTACATAACTGGAGCACCAAAGGGCGACTCGGGGAGGTATTCAAGGGAGTGCCATGCCCGTGTCGATACATACGTGCACGTGGAGGGGGGGGGGCGGGGGGGCAGAGAGAGCGAGAGAGAGAGCAGGCTCCGTCCGGAGCAAGAGAAACAGCGTGTACCAACACACAAGATTAGCCAAGAATTTCGACGAATCGCCTCGCGGCGGCTTTCGCTTTGCTCTTCGGATCGTCGTCGCCACGCTCCCCCCTGCTGCGTTGTGCCGCTGTTGGTGTTGACCGGAGCTATGCACACCTACAGCAGTACCGTAGGTCACCCCCTGAAGCGTCTTTCGACCTATCGCTCTCGTGGTGTCGGTCGAGCCACCTACGCTGCCCTACGTCTCCTCCAGCTGAAAGCTTCCTTTCGACCGACAAACGCCTCCCATGTTGTCGACAGGATCACCGGCTGAGGTTCGAACCCACGCCTTGCTTCTCCATCATCAGCTCTGGCGCTTCACCATTCCAAGCACCAAGCAGCAGCAGCAGCAGCAGCAGCAGTAGAGGCGGCGGAGGCTGCAGAAAAGTGGGCAACAACAGCAGCAGTGGGCACGGCTCTGCGACGGCATCAGCAGGCACGCAAGCAGGGGCGGCGGGTTTAGGACAAGGCTACACGGGCCACGATGATGAGATCGGCGTGATTTGCGTGGACGTGGTGTGCCCGTACACCAGGGCCCTGGTCATGGAGGGGCTGAAGAGGCGGCGGGGGGCATGGCGGGTGACGAAGGACACGTGAGAAAACGCTGGTCGATGTTGGTGACAACGTTGCCTCGGCAGCACTGGCAGTCGAGTGTTTCGATCCTCACCGCCACTGTTTCACGCTTCGCCAACTTTCCCCGCGGATCGCCCACGGGCATATCCCGCACACGTGCCGGCAAGTTCAGCCGAAGGGATTGTCAACGCAGCAGTGCCCTCCTCGCATGCATGTGTACCATATTCGAAACAAGATATCGCACCCGCTGGACCGGTTTTCAAAGCTCGATTTCTCAACAGAAGAAAGGGTCGCAGCGCCGGAAACGGTGGCGTTGAGGCCGTCTCGTCGAGAGCTTCCTGAAAGGGTATCGTTTCGCTTATGCATCCCCTTCGACGTGGCCTAATCGGGCGTTCAAGATCGGTCCAGGGGGTGTGTCATCTTGTGTCATGTCGTACACGGTATGTCACCAACAACTCGCCGCCCTTCACGCCAACGTTTGACGTATTTGCCTGGCGTGCCGTTGTAGCGCGGAAGCCACTCTACACTGGGGAGACTACGAGATGATCGACTGGGAGCGAGTGGTCTCAGGGGAGCTTCGCGCCAGCTCCTACTGCGTTCGGAAGGTACGGCTTCGCCCACGCGCGGGAGAGGCCAGCTTTGTGGCCGAGATTTCGGGGTACACAACGAGGAGGCGTTTATGGTTGTCGGCACGAGGGCTTGCCTGGCTTCCCGTGGAAGGCGAGGGAAGGAACGTGAACAAGGGCAACGATTACGATCGTGTTCTTAGCTTCCTGTCGGCATCTTTTTGTCTCTGCTACGCTTACGTTACCATTGCCGCGACGGGTCTGTGTGTTGGTTTCCGCCAGGTGCCGCAGCGGAACCCATATCCCCCCCCCCCCCCCCCCCCCCCCCCCCCCCCCCCCCCCCCCCCCCCCCCCNCCAGGCCTCTGATCCCTCCATCCTTGCTCCTTTCGTGGTGCTATTGACATCATGAAGGGTTTGAGCAGGAAGGCTCAGTTGTCGAGGTACTGCAACAAGTACACGTCCAAGAGGCCTGGGACTCCGTTGGAGGCGGCAATGGTAAGGAAGGGGATAGCCCCAGTAGTTTCCGCGCGTGGGGTTGGTTCGTCACTAGCTTGTCTCTGCAGCGTACTTGCTTCTATACCTACGCCTTTGCAAATTTTCGCCCAATATTTTTTTTTCCTTGTGATTTCAACACTTTTCTTTTGCGCCAAGCGATGAGCAATTCACGGCCAAAATTACTTGCCCGACCCGCTCGAGAACATGAGAAGTACGAATTCGAAGCAGCCGATTGCATGCAAACATAAACATCATGGTTCGGGCTACACGACTACGGGGTGAATTGGTGTCGTGCGAATGGGCCAGGCGTCAAGTGGTACTGTCTGCATGCAAGGCTCGGTAGAGTCACTCTCCATGGAGCTGCAAAACAAAGTTTATGCCGTCCACTCTTTTATTTGTGTTCTCCAATGTTTTCCCTCTCTACACGTCCCTTCCCGGCTGGTAAGGATGGCACCCTCATGGCACCTCACTCCTTCACTATTGCTCTTTTTCCCTTCGTCTAAACTTGCCTCGCCATACCCCCCCCCCCCCCCCCCCCCCCCCCCCCCCCCCCCCCCCCCCCCCCCCCNTGCGTCTCCCCCTACGCACCTCCTTTTTCGCCTTCAGCCACGCACGTTGGTGATCGACACGTGGGAAGCATTCGACGACGACATGACGTTCAATCTTGGAGGTGAGGCCACAAAAAAATTGCTGTACTATGGTGGGCGTCAGCAGAAAGCTGGAGCTCTTCGCTCCTCGAGTGACTTCTGTTTCACTTGATCTTCATCTGGTGGACAGGTGGGATTGCTGTTGTCGTTGCGGCGGCGGATTGTGCGCTCCTTGCGTCACGCCTGCCGCACTCTCGTTCTATTCCGGAGCCGTTTCGATCATACGAAAACCTTCTTGGATCATATGCACACGTGTTGCCGCCTATAGGAATTTGAACATAAGTACGGACAAAAAATCACGCCTCTGGTTTCAGCGGGGTCAATGTTGTTTCATCCCCTCCACAGAATGGACATGGCTGTGCCCAGTTCTTTCACCACCTCGTGCTCCTCACGCAGACCTCGCCATGCCACCAAAGTACACGGGCACTTCAAGGAGGTCATGCCCTCCACCGGAAAGCTGTTTTTACCCTTTGATTTTGCTTTGAACGCGAGAAATGCTTCACGACGCGAGAAATGCCTCACGATCACATCTGAGTTGAACCAGCTTGCTGCTGCTGCGCGCGGCCTTTTCAGCTCTTGAGAGCCAACTTTCACCGCCGTTTGCTGAAACAGTACGGTCCCCCGATTCGGTCGATATATGGCCTATCGTAGAGAAAAAAGATCATAGAACGAATCCATGATGTGCACGATTAGGGATCTCCACTACAGCGTCCGCGGTTGGCCTACGAAAGTCGGCCCAAATTCCAGTCCAAAGTCCGGTAGTCAGCAGAGTGGCCTCCAGAACGACCATGCGTCTACCTCCGAAAACATCATAGAAATCCAAGCCATGGAAGCACGCAACGGACTTAAAAACGCGTTTGCTGAATACCTATCCTCAACCAAATCGGACAAAAATTGGTATGTGTGCGACTTTACATGTGGGCAACGCATAGATGATGTGCACGATTTTTGATCAGCACTACAGCGAGAGTTTTTGCAGAGTAACTAAAAGCCCAGGATTAGAAATGTCCGTACTAAAAAAGAAGTATGACAATTTTTCCGTAGGTGGCAATATGTGTGTATTGCCGGCAGCCTGGAATGCCGTGGCACAGCAGGAACCCCCCCCCCCCCCCCCCCCCCCCCCCCCCCCCCCCCCCCCCCCCCCCCCCCCCCCCCCCCCCCCCCCC